TCATGTATTGTTCTACATAACAGTATTGATTACTTTACAAATGAATAGTAGTTATCTTATTTTACACGGATAATTTTTCTTTAATTAGATTAATATATGTACAAATTGTAAATCTACTATTCCATTTAATTCTAACACATGTGTTGTATGTGAAACACCAATATTCAAAGAACCACAACAGCGACCAACTTCTCAAAATCAGGTTTCAAAAAAAAGAACAAACATTTCAAAAAAATTAATCAAATTTTAATGTTCCTCTTTAGACAAGAATTCTATGTCCTCATTGTAAATCAACAAATCCAATACATTTACGAACATGTTATATTTGTGAAAATGTATTAATGCCAACATCGACATCACCAGTAAACAAAAAAAAATCTTATTTATTTTTTCCGTATTTATATTTCAATAGGAAAAACGAACTTCAATTTCAATTCCAACAATATCAAAACAAACTAATACAATGATGATAACATGTTCAAAATGTTTTCGTTTAAATAATCCTAATGCTCGTTTTTGTGATTGGTGTGGTGCATATCCTGATCATGCATCTACATCAATACAATGTACAAAATGTCATACTAATAATGATTCATTTGCAAAATTTTGTTCAACATGTGGATGTGTTCTTGAACCACCATTACGTATTATTGATACACGTCTTTAAAATGATTTGAATATTTCATCGCCATCAATGATTGCTAGTGTATATTAAAATTAAAGAATAAAAAAAAACAAAAAAATATAACGATTCTTATTTTCTATAGACATTAACACGTAATTCAGTTAATCCTGTATGGCTTAATGCAAATACAACATTAACTAATTATCATCAATCATATTCAACAATTAAAAAAGAAGCTGCAACACAAACATATGGAATTTATTATCCAAGTGCAAAAGATATTGATTTAATTATAACACAAAATAAAAAATTATTAAATGAAAAAGAATTAAAAGAATATCGTCCAATATTAACATCTACAAGTCCAGGAAAAGGATATTGGCGACAACAATTAGATCATATTTGTGCTCATTTAAAAACTTATGCAGTTAATCGACCAGATTTTCAATCATTGATTGGTAAAGATCTTTAATATTTAAAAAAAACAAATACTTTTATTTTCTTACAATGAATAATAATTATTATTTAAAATATAAATTCTCTTTCTCTCTATACATATATCTTATATATTAATATTAAAAAAGTTTATATATTATTTAATTATTTTTTTAGGTGAACCACTTATGGATAATATGATTCATGCAACTCTACATGAAAATGAATATCAAGTAACTATACAAATAGTATTTCGTAAACCAGAAAATCTTTCACAATCACCATTTTTTATTAATGAAACAAATGAATATTATCCAATAGATAATGAACGAAGTTCACCATATTCAAATACAATTTATTCTGATAGTAGACAAAAGTATTCTTTACAAAAAAAAGAACTTTGTTTTTTACATAGATGAATATCCAAGAGAAATTACAGAAAATATTGAGTGTAAGAATAAAATATTTTATTATAATTTATTTTTGTCTTATTAAATTATCTATTATAATTAATAGTCAACTCATGCATTAATTCGATTATTTGAAAAAAAAAATAATAATTATAATAAAAAATCATCACATCAAATCGATATATTAAAAGAAGTTCAACGTTTAATAAAAGAAAAAGCTGATGTTAATATTAAAAATAAAGAAGGTTATACGATTCTACAATTGACTATACGTAATGGATATTATGAATGTTTAGAAACACTTATTATAGATGGAAAAGCTAAATTAGATAAAAAAGGACCGTAAGTTCTATATATATGTATATATCGAGATTTTAATATCAATTGAAATCAAAGATTGACTGTGTATTTTTTCTTTTTTTGTTCAGATAAAAGTTGATATTCGAAATGTTAAGAAATATTGATTTTGTTTTGTTTTGTAGACGAGGTAATACAGCATTACATGAATGTTGTTTATTAGGACTTGATGGTGCTGAACCATTAAGAATTCTTCTCAAGTAAGTTTATTTTTTTAATTAGAAATTAAATAAGAAAATAATAAAATTTAATTTTTTTTTTTGATAAGAGACATGGAGGTGATGCATCTTGGTTAAATGATAAAAATGAAAGTGTTATTGATATAGCAGCAAAACAAAATTGTCCAGAATTATTACAAGCTTTTTCTAAATATCAAAGTGAAAAAATGCTTAAACAACATATGAAAAATTCTTATGATGATCATACAAGAATAAAAACTATTCATGGTCATCATTCATCAGAAAAATTATAAAGAAAAGAAAAAATAAAAGTTTTTTTTTTCTTTCTTCATATTGAATAATAGTTGATGAATGTTTGTTTTTAGTTTTTTTTTATTATTGTTTTTTCTTAGCAACTGAGTGCTTTCTGTTTTAAATTCTTTCTTTGATACAAAATCTTACTGGGGATTAACAAAACTAATAAATAATGTCAAATAAAATAAAAAAAAGAATATGAATTAATTTTTAGTACGACTAATGTAGATGGTTATTATTTTAAGTCTTCTTCACTTTATCATTGCGATAAAATTCGCTAAATTCTGAGTTAGATCGACCTATTGTTAGGATGATTTGTAATCTATTTTGATCAAGATTTTATTAATAAAATCTTAAAGTTTGAAAAACGACAAAGTTTACAAAAAGAAGGGACTTGTTATCAGCAAAATTGTCTGTACTTTCTTATAAAATTCTATTTTATATTACATATTTTGTCGATATCAGCAACCTTTGGCTAATAGTATAAAACCTTCTAATGCATTTTGTACTGTATACAACGAGATTTAGTTATGTTTGATGTCCTCAGAAAGATTAAGTTATAGAATGTTTTCATGGAAAATACTTGATTTATTTGCTTATATATTCAACTGATCTATATATGAAAAATTAAGCTGTTTTAGTTCTCTGCTGAACAGAATGTGAATATATGAGAAACAATTATTTTTTGCTTTTCTTTACATAAGGATATGATTCATGTCGCATACCATTAAATCTGGACAATAGGGTATGGTGTGGATGAAGAGAATATCCACATCCAAATCAGAAAAAGTAAATTTTATTGGTACATATCCATATGTATCCGAAAGACTTTCTTTGTCCAAAAATGAATTAACAGTTTTTTTTTCATACGATATAATCACAAAGAGTATACATACACACTAATAAAAAACATATCGTATGTTTACACTTTGATACGTTAAATATCTTTCTTGTTGTGGGAAATCGAATTACTATTTTTTCGATAAGATTCAGCCGCATCAAAGTGATCCAATCTCGATCATTGATTTATTTTTCAACATGTTTTTTGAACTAAATTTTACTACAGTAAGATACGTTTTATTTTAGTACTTTGACTGAGCCGAATGCCAGAAGTCAAATTTATCGATGATAGAAAATATTTCATATTGTTTCGTGTTTTTTTTTTCGAAAGGAATGTTTTTGAAACAGTCATTCTCATTTATATATCACTCAGATGCTTTTAATCATACTTCGGACATAGATCTAGTGATATTAGATGATTTTAAATTGTTACATATAATATACTAAACAAAAAAGTTCTTTATATAAGATGTAATCACATTGAAAGAAAGAAACATGCAATTTAACTTTTCTTCAACAGTTGTTTGTTTACACATTCTATCTGCACATTTTCACTGCCCTGCACAGACACGAACGCAAGAAGAAAAACTGATGGCAACTCGTTTGTTGTTAATGTATTTTTTTTCTGTTGATCTTTCTTATTTGTCATAATTGCATTTTCCAAAGAAATCGAACAATATCATGTAATCGACATTACGGTTAATGTTTTTGCAAAGTTATATCCGAAGATTGTTTTTTTGGAAGAAGCAAATAAATAGAAAAGAAATAAAGCATTAAGAAAATTATCTTGTATTTTCAAATATTTTACTAAAAATATTATATATAGATGCGGGTGTCATTACATCAGAGAAGGGCTCTGCGTGTGGGAACTAATCTTTTTCGTAATTTATTGGAAAAAACTTCTTTGTATGAATTCAATATGTAATCTTTCAATTCGGTTCTAATCACTATTTATTTATATAGACATATGATTACCGAGACACAAAAACTCTATAATCGAAATATAATGAATTTGTTCACAAGAGAAAAACTTACAAAAAGGCGGAATATTTAACGATAAATGCATGAACAAATTGCCCTTATATTTTATTAAAACCTATTTTATATATTTTTCTTTTGAATATACTAACGATTAAGCTGAGAATTGTTGAGACAAAAATATTTATTCATTTTTCGAATAATTCAGAACAGGTTTACAGAAATGTTACAACATCGTTTGTAAATCAGAACTTCGTGTTCTTTTCAAATTGCGGCACATAGTTGTACTAATCTATGTAGAAACACAGAATAGGATCGTATTTTGTTCGAAATCGATTTCATAATGTTTTTCAATCATATTTATTATCAATATCTTTGCTAATTGCCGTAAAGACGCAATTGGCACTCTTCTCGATACTAGAGTTTTTTAAGTGTAGAAATTCAGGACTGACAATAATATATTTGGCAAGTAATAATGTTTTTTGATTGTTGCTTTATTCACATTATCAACATGTCCGTCACAAGCAGCAGAATTGAAAAGAATAATAATAGAGTAAATGACGTTGTTGGTAAAAACCAACCACATTTAACGTCGTAAAAAAAATCTAAAAGAAAAAACATAAGACAGCAACTATAGGATATGATGTTTGTCTTTGCAACTTTTATACCCTCGTTTGCAAATTTCCAACATATCATTCAACATAGACCAATATTTCAACTGATATAATTGTAGTGCAAACTATTGTGTACAATGTGTTATCGTTTGTATTTGAAACGTAAAGACTACCTTTACAGTACTTTGTCATCAATCAAGATTTCCATATGTTTGATTTATTTTGTATTAAATATTAATCTTTGTTGATCGCTTTAATATTCGTGTAATATGTCTTTTTTTATTCAAAAGAGCTGCACAATTTGCGAGGATATCTATTAGGCAACTATTCTATTATTACAACTACATCAAGTCCATCCTGGCATCTCCAACAGAAGATGCCCTATCATAAAGTAGATCTCTACAGAACAAGCAACATTTTGCGCGTTTCAATGTTCCGTCATGGTCCCCATGAAAAATTCTTTTCTTTTCAATTTTGAGCATACGAATCAAATGGAACATGCATCTTATAGATACGTTAGAATTAAACAGTCTGTTTGATAAGTACTTTTGTTTATCGTCAGTGTCGTGAACGTGTGACAATGTTGATTTTTGCTTTTATACGTTCGTCTGTAAAAGACCTAAGGTACAAATCAGTAATAGTGGAAACATTATGTTGTTCACGCTATGCCAAATGTTCTTATCCATGACTTTATCACACAAAACGGTATTTATGGTAGAGAAAGTATGATCCTTAAAAATGTTCAATATTTATCTATCTTGCGGATTGATTATACTGCATACGCAACCCTTTCGATTATCTAATTATCTAGCATTGACACCATTGATGTCTCATTTTCAAATGATATTATGTGACAGTTTCACTTACGTATGTTAGTGAAGAATGTTCTTCCTATTTCTAAATATTTTTTCATCACATATTCTATTATTTCCAGC